AGACTGTACAGCAGCTGCTTATCAATCATTTCTAAATAAAGTGCACAAAGTAACAATTCAAAGGACACCTGAAATCAAAATGTCAGTTTTCATTCTGCTCAGACATGAACATCCACCTAAGGATTATATTATTATGTAGCTATTTCAGACCTTCTACTGATTTGAAACAAAAGATATTTTTTACTGAAACATGTTCTTTATCTACAAAAAAAAACCTCACTGCTTTTTCCTGCATGGCAAATGCTGCTTTTATGTAACAGAGGTTTTTCTTTTTAAAATGAGAATCATTTAATTCTTATTAACAGAGAACCACCGCTCAGATTTTATACACTTATTTCACATTTTGAAAACCAAATCAGTTTGCCAAGGCTGATAAATCAAATAGAAACCCATGTAAACGAAAAACACTTTTGTCGATTGTCGTTATTCTAGCTGACACACAGAAGTCGGTTCTGAGTCGAGCCGGTTCTGAGTCAACTTCTCCAAACCCTTCACCGCAGTGCCAGCAATGTGCCCTTGTGGCCAAGAACGCCAATGGCATCCTGGGCTGTATTAGAAGGGGGGTGGTTAGTAGGTCAAGAGAGGTTCTCCTCCCCCTCTACTCTGCCCTGGTGAGGCCAATCTGGAATATTGTGTCCAGTTCTGGGCCCTTCAGTTCAAGAAGGACAAGGAACTGCTTGAGAGAGTCCAGCACAGGGCCACAAAGATGATGAAGGGAGTGGAGCATCTCCCTTATGAGGAAAGGCTGAAGGAGCTGGGTCTCTTTAGCTTGGAGAAGAGGAGACTGAGGGGAGACCTCATTAACGTTTATAAATATGGAAAGGGTGACTGTCATGAGGATGAAGCCAGGCTCTTCTCACTGGCATCCAACGATAGGACAAGGGGAAATGGATATAAGCTGGAACATAGGAGGTTCTGCTTAAACATGAGGAAGAACTTCTTCCCAGTAAGGGGAACAGAACACTGGAACAGGCTTCCCAGAGAGGTTGTGGAGTCTCCTTCTCTGGAGATGTTCAAAACCCACCTAGACGCGCTCTTGTGTGATCTGATCTAGGTGGTCCTGCTCTGGCAGAGGGACTGGACTAGATGACCCTTTGAGGTCCCTTACAATCCCTAACATTCTGTGATTCTGTAAGTCAAGTCCGTTCTGAGTCGAGTTGAGTCGGTTCTGAGTCGAGTCCATTTTAAGGGTTATTTGAGTCGGTTCTGAGTCGAGTTGAGTCTGTTCTGAGTCGAGTCCATTTTAAGGGTTATTTTTGGCCCGAGTTGTCTTTTATATTCCAAACTAGAAGGGACCATGAAGGGGTTTTTTGGATTACCTTCCAGCATCCCTCGCAAACCTTTAGCTGCTAAAGGACGGTGCCCTCAACACCTCCTTCCCTCTGCTAATTTAACATTCCTTACATTCAGGAATAACTTCTCGCAAAAACATTCACACACTGATACTGAGAAGAACAAAGTTAGGACCATCACTGTTACCAAACAGCTGGTTTTATAAGCACCTGCTAACCCAGTTTCAAAGTAAGTGTACTCAGCAGTCCTTTGGGCACAGTCCAGAACAGCAACATGGTTACTGAGTTAATAGCACGTTAGTCTAGGCAAACTTCTGGATCACCTCGATAAATACTTAAGCACTGCTTGAGAGAAAGCACAGTAATATTGTGTCTTTTAATGGTAACAAAAAAGTAAGCAGGACTGTAATCATTGCCTTTCAGAACCTTCTTTGTAGTTGTATGTAAAGAGAAGCATTTGAGGTTCAGAGCTTTTAAAACTTCTAGGATGAAAATTATTTTCCCCTCTTTAATATTAGATCTTTGCAGAGAAAAAAAGAGAACAAAACAAATCAAAAAAATCCCACCAAACCCTTGTAGACTCATCCTGGACATTGAGAAGGCTGATGTAAGCTGTTAAGACTGACAGTATCTGACAGAAAAATCCTCCAAGCAGCTTTTGGGGAATAGCTGTATTTCATCTATGGATTCAAAGCTTCTTTTGTTTCCATAGTTTAAGAAAAATCGAGCTAAATTATAATTTTGATGTGTTCCGAATTCTTCTATTAAAAATCTAATCATTTAAAAATAATTACTGTCAATTAGAATATCTTGGTTGAGTGTTTTCAAAAAGTGCAAATGTGCAGGTAAGTTCTCAGTAAAATTTAATTACAAGCTATATGTAATGGAAAAAAAAAAAAAACAACCCTGTGCCTAGTTCTTATCATTGGCCTCTTTTTGTAGATGGTCATATGGATGTGAAATTACTTACCCACTGTGATGCAGCAAGGTAATTCAACCCCTAAGAAAAGATTAATTTCCCTGGTGTACGATTCGGTGTCCTAGTTGGCAACAGTGACTTCCTTAGTGTGTTAACTGTTACCAGTGACTAGCCCGCTCCAAGCAGAAGGTTCAAACCTCACAGTAGGACCAGCAAGAACATGAACTTACGGCCCTCGCTCCGGAGCAGCTGCTACCAAGCCAAACATCGTGCCTCTCGCATGCCATGTGCCAGCCTGTGCACTCCTGTGGGAATACCAGTCCCTAGCTGTCCCGGCCAACGGAGCTGCTGAAATGGTCTGCTCACTTATCTTTGGAGTCTGAAACAAGATGCCACTCCAAAGCTGCATATTAAACTGTAATTGAGAAACACTCTGGGATGGAAATCAGATCCAATAGCCACGGATCGTTTCCGAGAGAGGGTCCTGAAGTCGAAGACTAATCTTTAAGCTATTAATTCATACTCAGCTGAAGTTATGTTGGGAAGGCTCCTGATGAGAAGGAAATGGAAATAAAAGTCTTCTATAATGGGTAGTTTCATGCCAGAAGATTGTACCAAATGATCTCAAGAAGAGATTTGCTAACTTGAGGCACTTTTTGTTGACGTTTTATGTGTTGCCAGCTGCTTTCAAATGTAAAAAGCATCTCAGAATCTGTCTGCTTTCAGATAATTAGGGTATGAGACAACACACCAGGGAAGCAGTTACGAGAGGAATTCAATATTCCTCTAATCCAGCATAGAATCTCTGTCCTTTTTTTTTCCTCCAGCATTCTGAGGAAATAAGAATGCGTTCTTCTACATGAATTATGGTTAACAGATGACGGTCAAATACAGTATACATTGCTTTCTAATATGAATGCTAGTTTAAGCTTCCTTCTCTACAGTTTTTGAAGTCAAGGAACAGTTCCTGTGCTCTTAATTTATATGAAGTGGCATTAGAACTTAAGAACAAAGTTGTGGAGCATAACAAAAATTGTAAAAGCTAGGTCAGCAGAAGGTATCTCTTTTCTAGAATTTCTCTCAGAAAATTGTACATAGCAAAGAGGAATTTATCCAATTCCCATTTCAGTAAGGTATCAAAGCCATTTTCTTTAGACACAGCAAGTGTCAACAGGTGATTACAGCTGCGGTTACAGATCCCCATTGATGCATTTAATCATCAAAATAGACCAATTTCAGACTACCATGACTCCAGGTTGTAAATGTAAATTAAGAGAAATCTTATATTTCATCTCAGTAGGCAGAGATGACTCCCTCACTTATCCCTTTAAAAGTAATTCACACCTTTAATGATAATGCTCACACTCTGTATGGACAATAAATGTTTTTTGGAAAATCATCTCTCTCTCAATTTCTATGGACAGAATGGGTGACCTACCCTTACCAGAAGGCCACTGAACAACTGACAATATTCTGACAAAACAGGATGAAGCAAACCAAACCACAAACGTTCAAGTGAATAACTGGAAGGTGATCTGCTCCAAGACTTCAAAGAAAAGATTATTCAGACACGGACTTATTTTCCTAGTTACTCTTATTCCCCCATTCCTGCCCCAATCCCATGGTAGGAGACAAGAGTTGTTGAGTAACAGAAGAGGAACAGAGCCAAGGACATTGAGGAGGAAAAATATACATGACGATCCTGAAACAAATTCTTTGGTGGTCACACACTACTGCTGATGCAGTTCAATGTCAGCCTGCAAGCAGCAGCACTAGAACTACTGGAGAAGACCAATTTCCATGGCAAAACAAATAGCATACAAAGGAATAAAGGAGCGATTGAATTGCTCCTCTTCTTCTTCCATTTGAACCAGCCAGTTATTTAAAATACAATATTCAAAACTGAAAATGCAAACTATTTCACAAGCTAGCAGTAAGAAAGTAAGAGGACACTAAGATCATAGAAATAGATCTGAAACAGCCACCACCTGCCAGTCCTGAAAAGCACGCCATTTTTAAGATGGTTTCATTGGGAGATGGGGGAAGAGTCAAAACTGGCACTTAGAAAAAATCCTATATATTAAACTGATTTCTTTTTGTGTTAGCCAGTTGTCTGTTATTCCAGAGTATCCCCCAGGAGTAGGCCATGAATTGCATCATAAGCAACTGTCTCCTAGAAAACTGAGCAGGGATCTGGCATGCTGAATTTTATTATCAAGAATGCCACGGAATGCCAATGCCAAAACCACAGTTGTAACCAATTACAAATTTCTAACCATACTGAATTTATAAACGTTTGTCAGAAACACAGAGCATGCTCAGGCAAGGAACTATTCTTACTGAAATATAAGCATGCGTGCTTGGGCAGTTTAGGAATACTCAAACAAATATGGTGACTGTTGCTCACCAGCCTGGGCTGCAGCACCAAGGACGCTGTTGCATCCTCCGCAGCCAGGAGGAAATGGCCTGCCTCTTGTAGGCAGGATAGGTACCTTGAGTTGAGTAGTTAATTAGTCATTATCTTCAACTCAGTCCAGCTGGGTAAGAATGATTGGTGCCATAGGTGACAATCTCAAAACATTTGGAGCTGTCATGCTACCCAAGCAAACTAGCACATTTCTAATTGCACTCAAAAAGTGCTTTCCCTTGTTCTGCCTATCACATCTATGCAACTGACTGGAACCACAGGGGCCACATTTGCAGGAAGGAAATACCTGCCTGCAAAATGCTTCATGCTTGTCATGGACTTCACCATTAGAAGACTTTAGGGCTCAAAAAGTGTAAAGGTAACTAAGTAATGAATTAACAAAACACCACACCACAAACATTATAGAGAAGAACAACTCCTCACCTGGCAATCTACTCCCTTGCCATGCCTCTCTCCTCCAGTTTAAAGAAAAAAAAAAACAAAACACAGCTCAAATTAGTAATTTCTCTAGAAAAGAATTGTGAGGGAGACAGGAGGAAACAAAGGAGAGGTAAGTCAGGAAAGGCCTGACTAGGCACATCTTACTATAAGCAAACTCTCAGCTGCTCAAGAGGCTTCCCAAGCAACACTCACATTGCACTCATGCATACTCAAACCACCCCCATTGCCACACAGATTTGCTTTTGTTCAGATTGTCTTTTCCTGTCTCTCAACTGTTTAAAGACACTTCAAAGAAGATCAAAAACCTTGAAAGAAGTGTAGTTGTTTAGTCTATAGAAGAGAAGATAGATGGGAGACTTGGTCTTGTTCTTCACACGCAAAGGAAGCTGGTATGAGAACGGGACTAAACTGTTCACCAGGTCTACTGCAGACAGGAAAAAGCAAGGAAGATTTAAGTTAGACATGTGGAAAACTTCCAAGTAAGAGTAAAAGGACTGAACAGGCTGCCTATAGAGGTTGGGGAATATCCATCACTGGAAGGTTTTAAAAACAGGCAAACATCTGTCAGAAGCAATTATGGTATAGTAGATGAGAATGAACTTGAGATCTTTTGCTCTTCTTCTGCCAAGGTCTGTTCATTACGCCCAGAGTCACAAAACCAGTAACATTTCCCTCTTTATATCCCTATGTTTTATTTAACTTTAAAAAAAAAAAACCCGTAGTAAAACCTACCCTTATAATTGTGATATTTCCACACGTTCAAGCGTGATTATTTGGGAGAATGAAACACATCAAAGATTTGCTAACTGTGAAAGCAGGATAAATAAATCACCTGTGAAGTAAAACACCAATGGACTTATTTTACCCTTAATCTGAAGGAATTGACTTCTAACGTCATAATGCAGACCGTACTCCATTTCCAAGAGAAAATAAAAATGTGGAAACTTTAACCAATGACTTACTGATCTGTGGTCACTAAGCCCAGTCAGTAAACCATTTTTCAGTTTTTGTTTAAAGGAATTTTTTTAAAGGAGAGCACTTTTCCCAAGCACGCACACAAAAAGTTAAAAATTATTTATTTTTAAATCAATATATAATCAAAACTATGAAAGCAGAAGGCTGCTTTGAGAAGTATCCAAATATTGAAACTATATTAAATGATGAGTAAGGATGGCTTCCATCACACTGGGGGAAGAAAAGCCACCTGAGACTTACTTCTTTCCGTACTGTTTAATACTAAAGTAACCATAGAAATGAAAACTAAACATCGATTTCCCCCTCATCCCCAGTATGACAAGAGAACCTAACAAGAGAAATGTTTCTTGGGGACAGTAATCAGAACCATACCGGTAACTGTTTAGGAGGAGAACGAACAGGGCTTACTGGGGGTCTCTACTGGATTGATATGATATAATTCATATCACTGCAAGAAACAAAGGATGCTACTTACTTTGCTCACATCTGATGCTCCTAGCAGCTGCTCTGTGTGCTGACCTCTCAGTTTTGTCTGTCCTGTCTAGCGTTTGACATTCTTTAGGTTTTAGGAAACGCTCCCTTGGAAGAGACAAACGTGACTGAATTCATTCACATGGCAGCTGTGACATACAGCAATCAAATCATGATCAGAGAAGTTCAAAAATGTTACGGCAGATACCAGATTTGTGTCCCCGCACACTTGTTCAATCCTTCTTGTGACAACTGCTCTACGTTATTTTTGTCATATACGGTATGCTTATGGGGACTTGTAAACTAGGGGGGACTTGTAGGCACCCAAGAGCTCTATTTTTCTTTTCACTCTTGGTCTAGACGGCCTTGGATAACACATCTCCTATTTTGCATCTCAATACCTTTTTTCCCTTGCCAATTCAAGATCCATTCCTCATTCTGATGCCATTATTTGAGTTCTTGTCCTCCAGAACATATAAGCTACTTGTGCTGCTTCTTAAGGCTTTTTCAGAAATGCACAGAGTAACATAAATCCATAAAATTATTTATTCTACTGTAATGGGTCAAGGGGAAGCTGAGAAACTGGTACTTCTCTAATTTAATGCTACTGTTAATTAGTAACTGTACACAGAGCAGCAATTTTAGAAATGGTCTGTTGATTCAGGGAAAAAACCACACAAATCACTACAGCTGATTATTACCTTATGTTATCTCTTTTTATCTTATGATACAAACTAGCACAGTTTTATAGTATAAAATGTACTGCATAATAAAAGTATAGAAATATTTTGAGGCATTTTTACAATATTGCCAGAAACTGTGTTGGCATTTTCATGCCAACTGAAATGAGTGTACTGTATCTCAATACATTACAGACTAAC